ATGAGAACGCATGTAAAGCGCTGCTTGGGGGTGCCAGGAGCTTACAAAAGAGCTCAGTAAACGCTAGCACAGTGGGTGTTCTTACCACAAATAATAAATCGTCTGAAATCGCGCTTTTAACAAGTCAGCGCCGGTAAAAAGAAAAGTCATGGTAACTAGTGAGCAGGTCACAATAGGTGAAGTTTGTTTCGCTCAGGGCCACACGAATCGGATCGGCTTCTGTCTTTGATAAGATGTGCGGTTCATTTGCAGGGGGGAAGCATTTACTCTACAAACATCTGGATGGCCTAAGAGTCATGATTCCTTTAAAAATATATATATATATAGACTTCAGAGAGAAAGGGACAGGGAGAGAGAGATAGAAACATCAATGATAAGAGAGAATCACTGATCGGCTGCCTCCTGCACGTCCCACACTGGGGATCAAGCCCGCAATCCGGGCTTGTTCCTGGACCAGGAATCGAACTGTGACCTGGTTCATAGGTCGACGCTCAGTCCCTGAGCCACGCCGCTGGGCTGTCCTGATTCTTTTTGGACCAACTTGAACACAACCCCTTGGCAAACAGCACTTAGGATGATCACTGTCAGTTTGGCCAACAGGCAGCGAACGCCATGCCGACGTGGGTGTGTGGACGCAGCAGTGCTGCTGGCAGGGACTTACTCAGGGAAGCATCTTGCTGGGAACGAAGCTGAGGCACGTCCGTGGCAGCGAGATCGCCCGGCAGGGAGGCCTGGCTGCCTGTGTGAGACGGGAGAGGCGTGTGGTGAGTTACGGGAACTCGCCGTTCTTCTCTCACATCGGCAGGTGGGCGGCGAGGAAAATGCAGTAAAATGATGAGGATCCAGACAAGCATTCGGTTTGAAGTGGAAAGGGAACACGTCAGGATAGTATGAACCGTCTGTACGTCCGTGTGTGTGTGTGTGTGTGTGTGTGTGTGTGTGTGTGTGTGTGTGTTTGTGTGTAGGCCAAAACTCGAAGATGGTGCCTTTAGGGAGATGGTGGAAATGAGCTGTTTTTAACTTGTCTTCAATGTTTCTGGTTCCAAGAAACATAAATAACGCTTTCCCATGGTTCCGTTGTCATTTATGGTGACGCATCCGGGAGAGAATCCCCAGCAGAGTGGCTGGACCTCCCACAGAACGGAAAGCCTCAGGTAGTCAGAGGCAGGAGGACTCCCCAGGACCCTGACCCTGACCCCTGGCACCCTTCAGGGTCCTCCCTACAGCTCTGTGGAGCACAGGCTGCCCTCCCCGCCCCGCAGCCCCCAGGACCCCCTCCCGCCCAGCTGCGCAGAGGAGGACGGGAAAGGCAAAGAGGAGGAAGGAGGAACGCTGCCACCTGCAGCGTCCCGCAATTAACGGGGGCCCCGGAGAGAAATTACTGGGCTGCTGCCATCCTGTCCACCCGCCCCATTGCCCCCACCATCAGGACTCGCTGCACCTCCTAAGTGCCTTAAATAACACTCCCCCTCTCCCTGCCCGCCATGATGAATCCACCTCCAGGGCCCTGAGCTTTGCAATGCACTTTCTCAGTTCACATCCCCAAAGCTCCTCGAAGTGCAGTCCCCTCCTCCTTTGTGCTATTGTAAAGCACAGACGTACAGACAGTCACAAACCAATGGGACATGGGTGTAATTTTACTCTAGAGACTGTTATGTCCTTTAAAGAAACTGAGGTAGAAAACAGCGCGTGGGTGCAGCTCCCATACAGTGTGAGCCTCCTGGGCCTGCCCCCTCCTCCCCCCCACCCTCTTCCCTCCTCCCTCTTCCCTGGAAGGTGTCACAGCACGGCCTGGACCTCCCAGCGGCCTGGGCCTGCGGCTGGTGGGTCTGGGAACAGGAGCCTGGGAAATGGCTGGCGTAGTGTCCTCAGGACAACCATCCCCGCTTGCAGGATGCAGAGGTCTCCTGGCCCAGCAGGAAGTGGGGGGGTGGGAGGGGAAGGAGAGGAGAGGCAGCGATGGGGCAGGGAAACGGGGCCCCCTGGTGACAGCAGTTGCACCTACAGGCTGCTCCAGACATGTGACTGGTTTAAGAGCAAATTGCCCGCAGTATTTTGACCTTGGGGGCACGAAGCAATCTGCTGTTCTCACCACACAGGCAGGTCTAGTTGCATGGCCGTCTCCACGTCTCCCCTGTCTCCCCCCAGCTTTGTTGTGGGGAGAGGGGCCGGCTGAGGTGAGCCCAGCAGCCTGGGGGACGGCAATGCAGTTTGAAATGCAGCCTCCTCCCTTTCGTGGTCAAGGGCCAGGGCACCCGCTTTGTGGCCAGGAATCGGCTTTGTCCGGTGGCGTCTCCAGTTTGCACAGGGCAGGTAATCCCGAAGAGCCTGCCTCCCCTCGCTGCCCCCGGCACAGGTGATGGGAGCCGATAGGTCAGCTCGCCCCACGGGCAGCCGAGCACAGAGGGAGGGGGAGTGGCAGGCTGGCAGCCTGCTGGGCAGTGCTGATCTCCCATCCACAGCCGGCCTCTCTGGCGAGAACAGCCCAGGATAAAGCAACGACAGCTCCACAAGACGCAGCTCTGCCCTCCCCTGTCGCGGCCGGGCGTGCGCCGTCTGGGAGGGAAGCTCTAGCAGCCACGAAGGCCCGGCGAGAACGGGCTTCTATGAGAAGTGAGCCGAGTGCCACGGACCCCCACCTCCCGGTCACCGGGTGTCCATCGTAAGCCGATTAGTTCTAGGCAAAAGCAGAAACACAAACACGGTGTGAAGGCCGCCCTTATCTGAGTTTGCTCACAGCCTGTTCTGCTCAGCCGCTCAGATCATTTGCTGAGAAGAAACAGGTTTGTTCTCCCCAAAATGAGGCCATGGGGGGCGGGGGGGGGGGGGGTGGACTCACAGCAGGACGCCTCGCCAACCCTGGACTGGGCAGCCCCAGGAGGGTCCAGGGTTGGGGACATCAGTGGCCTGTGGGTGCCCCAAGGGCCTTCCCGGGCTGGGACAGGGGTCCGGGGCCATGGGCTCGGTGGAAGGCCCCAAGGGATGTTGGAGTTGGAGTTGGGGTTAGCAAAGGCCCTGGGGCACCGGGGAGGCTCCCTGCAGAGCTGGGAGGGGCTCACAGGGCTGTTTTGGTTTTGCTATTGATCTCTGAAAGGTTTCGAAACCTCTATGGACTCATATACTTTTATAGCTTACGATGCAATCGTTTGATCATAGGTTTTTACAGCGATTGCTGGCCTATTATGAATATTACAGATTTAAAATAAACCTCTCATTTCTTCTTGGCATGTACGCACTTGTGACTCTGTGGATCTTGCTTGGAATGATGTCAGATCAACCCCTGGGAAGTCTCATAGCTCGGCCTTCCTGATTGTTACACACGTCCATCCCACCAGGGAGCTGGAGGTGGCCACGTTATCATGGGCTGGAGCATCATATAATTGCATTTATATAACAGGATTTTAAACAATGGCTGTATCCAACTACTGCTCCGAATTTCTGGAACTTCAGCCTTTGTGCCCACACTGGACAGAGCTCCAAGCTGCCAGCTCTGTCGGCTGCTCCCTCTGTCTTTACTAAATAATTTACTGATAATAACTATTAAATAATCAAAATGTAATGTTTCATTTTGCATATTAAATCTAAAGAATTTAATGACTGATCACACAATTGCCCTTTCAGCCTCCAAATCTTCCCACCCTGCCCAGCCTTTCTCCCCCCGAGCGTCTGCTGGACGTCGGTCTGTCTGGGAGTTTATTTCCACCCTTCCCCAGGAGAACATGGCTCCCGGGGCAGCAGTCCTTGTCTAGCACCGGGCACTTGTACCCCAGGCATGGAGTCCGATGCCACATGATGCCACGGGAGACGCCCCAGGAACCTGGACTGAACTTGTAAGATGTCACCTCCCCACCCCCACCCCGTCTTCTCTATGAAGCTTAATTTGTCTCTTCTTTAATGCAACATTTTCACTTTAATATCGTTTTTATCGTGTGAAAAGAATAGATTCAAACTTAATGCAATAGAACAAATCACTTGTCTCTATCAGGGCTTTTTATTTGCATGGGGCTTTTAATGTTTCAAAAACGTTTCCTTGTTTCTCATTTAATTATAGACACATTGACAAATAGATGAGAGAAATAAAATAAAAATCACCCCGGATCCCATCACCCATGCACCAGGACCGGATGTGGCTCCTCCCAGGCTCTCCTGCGCTGTGCACCCACCTGAAGCATCACACGTCTCCACGGCCACAGAACCTACGGCCCTAGCAGCCAGTTTTCCCCTCGGTTTACTACGTGTGTCTTTTTGGGACACTAGTCCTAAGTAACAGGCTTCTGGCTTGTCACTTGGTAGCTGTGTTGTCCCACTCGGCCCGAACGTCCTATCTACCTGCCTGGCTCTCACTGGGCCTGAATGCCCTGTCTTTCCCCTTAGTGGGCCTCAATGCTCTGCCTCTCCCCTCACTGGGCCTGAATGCTCATCTCTTTCCTCATTGGGCCTGAATGCCCATCTCTCTCCTCATTGGGCCTGAATGCCCTGTCTCACCCTTGCTGGGCCTGTATGCCTGGTCTATGTAGACCAAGCAAGTCAAACTCATGGCCTGTGGGCCACATGCCTCGTTTATCTGGCCATGTGTTAGCATTTGACAAGCTTGATGTGGTCCATGGCTATTGTTGGTGTCCCAGTCCCTCCTGTGCCCCTCCTCCCCGCCCACATCGCCCTCACATGGCCTGGCGGTGACTGGGCTCACCGCGTCATCACTTACAGAAGGGGCTGGGCAGGGCAGCTCTAAGCGCCCTCTGTACACCTTACATGTGGGAGCTGCGGGCGTGCTCAGGAAGGTAGTGAAAAAGCCAGGAATGGAGGAGGGCAGGGACCCAGCGAGCCTGTCCCCTAATGGGAGGAGCTGGGAGCAGCACAGCTGGCCCCACTAGACCACAGCCCCAGCTCTGGCCACTTATCCACACCTTCCAGCTGATGCTCAGAGGACCGGCCGGCCCTGCCCTGGCAGCAGACCAGGGAGAGAGGGTCAGGCAGGAGAGAGACTCAGCACACGGCGGTAGTGAAACGCTTGGTTTTATTGAGGATGTTGCAAATCCTTTGTCTACGTGACAGCGTCTCATGCTCGGTCCCACGGGTCTCGGTGCGCGAGGAGCGCATGCAGGTGTGACGTGTGGTATATACATCAATATACATATGGGAACACCGAGGGGCGTCTCAGCGATGGTTTGTTGGCCGAATTACAGTCACATAAAGTGTCCAAGTTCAGAAGTCAAGTTCAAAGCACACAGCCTACAGTCTGAGAGGGCGAGGGCTTTCGGGCTCACCCCATCAACACTCCGGAGACCATGCCTTCCGCCGTTGGTGGGCACCTCCAAAGGATGCCCTCAGGCCTGGCGCACCATCAGCCACACCGGAGCCCGAACAGGTGTGCCTGGCACCTGGACAGGTATCTTGGGGGCTGGAGGCTGATCCCTTCAAACAGCGTGCAGGGAAGTGCAGCCGCTGAGCCAGAATCAGGTCAGACCCTGTCCCCCACCCCCTCCCATCGTGTGGACACACTGTGTGCTGTGGGCAGGAGGTGGGCACAGGACACGCGGGGGACAAGGACACACAGAACTGGACACACATGATCACAAGTACTCTGCCCTTCCCATGTACACGGCCGGAAACCTTTTGAGAGATTTCATAGGATGTAGAGATGGAAAAGCCAGCTAATTTTATTTCTCTGTGGCTGGGGTAGACCTTACATTTTGGTATACATAGTTTGAAAATGGAGGGGCCCGTCTGTGTCGTGTTCTGTGAGGAGGACATGCAGCCTCTGTCCCCTCTCAGGTCCTGGGAGGGATGGAGCTGCTCCCCAGCAGCCACGAGAAGTCACTGAACAGGAAGCGCTTCTTTACAAAGCGACCCTACAGCGCGGAGACCGATGAGGTGGTTCGAATAAACATGGATTCCAGAGAAACCAATCCTTTCCGAGATGTTGGCTGGAGGGGACATTCAAAAATAATTTGTTTTTGATGACAATGCAAATCTCCCAAATAGGAAGAAAGGTTCAATGAAGATCCGGGATCGAAATGGCGGTGCCCCTTGCCTGAGAAGGTGAGGCTGACCCTGAGCAGGTGATGGGGGCTGGGCCACGTGGCTAGGATGCCGGCCCCCGGCTGTGGCCCAGCCTGGAAGAGCCTGGCTCACGACACAAACGTCCTGCCACCCGAGACGTCCCTTCCACTCCCTTCCTGCCAGCAGCCTGGCCGCCAGGGCCTGGGCTGGGCGGTGACTGGTTCCTGTGGAACTGACTCAGGTTTAGCTGCCAGAGCAGAAACCCTCCCCACCCCACTGGTCAGAAGTCCTCAAAACTTAACGTTTTTCTCAAAAACAAACAAACAAAAAAAAAACAAGTCCCTGGTTGTGTCAATTTTTCTGTGACGTCTCAAAAGTCCAGATAGAGGACCCTAGATGCCAATCAATGCCCCGAGGAGCCAGCTGGGTGTCCAGAGCGCGGTGAGCACAGAGGGGACAGTCTAAAGTGCTTTGTCTCTGCAGGAGTGACCCGACCAACCCTCCTTCCTGCTCAGGGGAGAGCTTCCGGCCGCCTGTCCTAGGGGTTTCCCTGTCCCAGGAGCAGGGGCTGGGTGGGCCTCCTGCCTTCCTCCCAGGCAGCCACAGGCTAGGCCTGGGTGCTTCAGGCCCAGCCCTGCATCGAGCCTGCCCTGCTGGTCACACAAGCCCGGCCCAGGATGGTGCCCAGCGCGGGTCCCACGGGAGCGGCACACAGTAAGGCCTCCACTCACCTGGGCGAGAGGGACTCAGCCGACTTCTCTCAGCATCTGACAGAGGGACGGCAGGACACATGGGACGGGACTCGTCTACGGAATGTATTTCCACTGGGCTTTGTCGTCAAAATCCACATCTTTTTTTTTAAAAACTAAGTCCATCTCCCATTCCCCGTTAGAAAAAATACCATTTGTAGAGAGAAGCATAAAAACACAGGGCCTCCCCGATGTCTTCCGGGCGTGGGCGAGCCTGCGGGGAGGGCCGGCACCACGAGGGCCCTTCCCTGCGATGGGGAAAGTGCCAGCGCATGGGAACCAGGCCTGAGCCCGCCCTCAGGGGGCTGGGGACGAGCAACACTCTCCAGAGGGGGAATGCTGGTGCCTGAGCCTGGGAGTCCCGCATGTGGGCCCCCCAGGATGTGATCAGCAGGGCTTCACACGCTGCGCTTTCTGAGCCTGAGGACACGGGACACTGGGTGCACAGCCCGATGCCACCGGTGTCGGCGCCGGGACTTCGCTGTGGGGAGGGGTGTCCCCTATCTCTCCCCACGGCGCCCATGGGCCCCTCCACAACCCAGAGTCAGCCAAGGGCTCGAAGCACTTCCTCCACCCACTCAGCGCTGACCCCGAGTGGAAGCAACAGGTCACTGGTATGGGTCTCTGAGCACAGTTTGGGGGGCAGCTGGCCTCGACCAGCCCTGACCCCCTGGCTCGCCTGCCCTGGGCCGTCCTGTGTGCTGGAGGGTGCTGAGCAGAACCCCTGGGTCCTCACCTGCCAGCAGCACCCTTCCCTGCCGTGACTCCGCCCCGCCCACTGTGCTGCCGCCTTCGGCCTGCGTGCTTTCTTCTCAAATGTGCCTTTGATAAAGCTGAAAGGAATAACTTAAAAAGATGCCTTAAGTGGTATTTTTCAAAATGAGTGTTCGCTCATGGCGTCGGGCTCAGAGGGAGGAGTGGGGTCAGGCTGGTTATTGTGCGGTAGCCCGGATGTGCTCCCACTGGTCCCAAAAGGTTAAATACTGCTTCAAAACCCAAACGAATGGCCCATTCACCCCTGACTATATAGAAGTGAACCAAGGGAGGTTTTCTGTGATATGATCCTACGAGGAGCACAGAAGCTTCCGGAGCGGCTGGGCCCCGTCGGGGATGTGGAGTGTGGACTTGTACTTCCCTCGGTTACTACTTCCTACCTCTACTTACTCTTCCTCCATAGAGAACGCTTTTTTTTTTTTTTTTTTTTTTTTTTTTTTTTTGCAATTAAAATAATGTGGCATAAGAGTGACCTGGCATAAGTACTTATTTTATATAAATCATGTTCCTAGCTCTGAATAAATTATTTATTCAAGAATTTCACACCAAGTAATTGCTATTTCTAAGCTTAAGGAAGCCCTACTCAGTAGAACTCAATTTCTATCGTAAACGGAGATTGAAAGCAGTCACTGGGCCCTGGGGGGGGAGATGGTGCCGCAGAGGTGCCCAGGGCGGCACGGGACCCCCCTTCCCCGCCCCCCGCTGTGTGCCCATCCCAGTTCGGATGGAGGTTCGGGAAGGCGCCGGGTGCCGGGCGCTTGGCGCTCCACCCCTGCCGCCGCCTGTCAGGGTGTGAGCGAGAACTGGTCCTGCTCGGTGGGCTTCTCCACCCAGGCCCCCAGCCCCGCCTTGATGAATGCCCGGAACATGCAGGCCTTGGCCGCCTGGTACTCCCTCGCCACCAGCTTGGACTCGTGGTACAGGTTGGGCTTGAGGATCTTGGAGCGCTGCAGGCTGGTGGGAACCTGTGTGAAGACGAGAAGACAAGCACAACCATTTAAAAAGCAACAGAAGCTAAAACGGAACATGTTCAGACAGTGGTGTGTGGTGCTGTGCTGGCTCCTGGGGCAGGGCCACCAGGTGACGGTGGCTCCCACAGAGGGGCCGCCCTCGCGTGGGACAGAGCCAGGGTCCTCCGAGGGTCGTCCTCCCACCCCAAGGAGCAGCCTTGCAAACGGGCGGTGCTCTGCCACCCGCAAACAGTGGATCCCAATGCCCATTTCAACACGGTGGCTCTTTAAAACCACAGGGTTGGTCACTGGAACTCTACGCTGGCCACTCACAGCTGAGTTCCTGCAACTCGTCTATTCCTCCAAAGCCAGCTTCCTAACCAACTAACACTAGAGGCCTGACTCACAAGTCGGTGAAAACTAGCTAGTGTATAGATTTGCTAAATTGGGGCTTATTTGGGGGAAAGGGTCCTGCTGCTGCTGGTTTTCACTGCAGGGAAAAGGTCTAAAATCCTTCCTGCGGGTCTGACTGCGCCCAGCAGTGCCCATCGTGTGGGCCCCCAGCTCCTCGTCTGAGGTGACAGGAGGTGCCGGCAGGAGGGCGAGAAGGGGCGCTGCCTCTGAGCGGAGCTGCGTTAGGGTGACGAGCCAGGGCCAGATCTCAGGCTGAACCCCGCCAGAGGGAACAGGCTTGGGAGGGTCGTGTGGACGGGGCGGGGCTGTGACAGGACGGACAAGCGATGGGGAGTGGGGCGGCCATCGCCGCGGGCGCCTCAGTACCTTGCCGTGCACACGCATCCAGCGACAGTACAACGCGTGCTTACACAGGCGTGACGCTCGGCCCAGCTCGTCCTTGCCCGTCGTGGAGTTGATGACCTCGATGGCCGAGTCGCCCACCGTCCAGTTGACGCTGAAGTTGGGAGCCTTCCCCGGCTGCCGCGCTTCTGCGTTGCTGATGCCTGGCAGGGAGAGACAGGCAAGGTGACACGGAGTCCCACCCGGCAGGTGAGTGGGACCAGGGGGGCTCCCACAACTCCCACTGCCCAGGGATCATTGTCTGCTGGGAGGCGGGCTGAAGGTCCACAGAGCCTGGAACCTCAGCTTCACACCACTTCTGACTCCCCAGGGCAGGGAGCCGGGTAGCCGGGCAGCCTGCACGAGGACGGCAAGCGGCTTTGTAGCTCCGGGTCCCGCCAAGTCATACTGGGTGCTCCTCGGGGGATGACACCGGCCCTGGAGCTCAGACCCTGAAGCTGGGCCCACCCTGCCTCGCAAACCCTACACCCCATGAGAGAACCAACTTCTTTACATGTCTTCCTACCACATCTCATCCATTTCTAGGACCAATGCTTCATTCACTTATTTTCACTCAGGGCCACCATTCTGCAAAGTGTCCCTGTGGCTCCACTTGTCACTTCTGACGTGAGTTCTAAGAAACTAGTTCGGTCTAGTTTATCTCTGAGTTACTGATGAGTCCCATTTCCTCGTGGCCAGGCCCTTGGCCTTTCATACTCTCTCTCTGTAGCCAATGTGTAGTTTCAGTGCAGGGCAGTCAAAGTAATTTGATTCAATTACTCAGAGCAGTGACCACGAGATGCACTGCGGAGCTGAGCAGCATGACAGACTGGAGAGAAAACTGTTCATTCGTTAACAAGTCTGTTACCTTTCAAGGAGACCAACTTCAAATGGAGCCTCTGTCCCCACTTCCAGCAATTGCTCCACATCACACCGTGTGAGACAGACAGTAGGGTACGTGGAGAGTTATGACGAGGGCTTGGCTCCCCAGGTTGGGGAGGGTTAGGGTTAGAGAAGTCCCATGAGCTGCTGGCTGTGAGCTGGGATCCAGGACAGCTGGCGGTGTAGCTCTGTCTGAGTCCAAAGGCAGAGAACCAGGGGGCCGGCGGTGTGAGTCCCGGCCAACAGGAGAAGGTGAGATGAGTCGTCCCAGCTCAGCCAGCCAGGCAGGAAAAAGGGATGAACTCCTTAACATGGGCCTCAGTGGATTCAATGTGGGTGGACCCACGCTGGGGAAGCAGTCTGCTTTACTGAATCCACCTATCAAATGCTGACCTCACCTGCAAACACCCCCTGACACCCCCAGAAAGAACAAGTACTCTGGGTGCCTGTGGCCAGCCAGGATGATGCAGAAACTAATCATCACAGACCTCCTTTTACTGTGGTGTACACTGAACCGCTTCTTTCCTGAACAGCTGTTTGGGTTTCCTGGAGTTCCCGTCGCCTTTGTGTTTTGTTGTTTATGAAAGAGGCATGTCCCTTCACCTTTGAAAGGCTGTTCAGCTTCTCTGTTTATTTGTGAAAATATATTCACTTTCTTCCGAAAAACATCCTTTTCTGAGTTCTGACGTGGTTCTCTGTTCAAAATAGGCTTGCTGCTGAGTTATCCTGTCATCATATTGTTTACTTATAAGATAATTGGATCCCACTATTTTCTTTCTTAGAGGTATGTCTGCTTCATTTTGCTAGAGTATCATTACATTTTCCTCCAAAAATATACAATGGAGACAGATCTTGTTTATCCTTGAAGATCTAAACATTGTCACTTTATCAGAATGCCCTACACCAGAATGCTGCTGCCACTGGTCAGCATTCGAGAACATTCTGCTGCCGATACTTGAGTGTTGTCTCTGCTCTTCACAGAACTCTAACACTCGCTCATGGAGGCCCCTGGTCTGTCCCTATCACTAGGCAGAGGGAGAAACTGAGGCACAAACCTGCCAACAGGATGGAGCTACAGCAGCCAGCCTCGGCTGTGCCTCAGGCTCTGGCTGCCAGCTGTGTAGGCTCAGCATGGCCCTAACCCCATGGCTGGGGCCCCGGCTTTGGGGTTGGAGATGATACTAGGGACAGGAGAATGAAGAGCGGTTCTTCTATTTTGTCATCTATTTCATATTTTTTTTCAAACATGTAGAATGCACCGATGGGTTTAAGGCCTCTGTCTTGCAAAGGCTATGCTTCAGTATCTTTTTATAGCCATTCATGCACTTCATGTACATCTGATCTGATAAAAATAACCTGACTTTTAAAAATGAGCTCTCATTTCAGTATCTGAGAATATTCCTTTAGAAAATGATCCTGTCCTCGGAGACTCTGCTATGGACTCGACATTGCTTAGACTCATCAAGACACCGACGAGCAGCTGCTCTGAGCAGCGCCTGTGGGCCATGTGCTCCACACGGTGTTCTCCGTGTCTCTGAGTCCAGGAGATGAGTGGCAGCCGAAATGAAGCCCAGTTCTCAAATGCAGAACAGGGAGTAAACAGGGGAAACTTATCCTCTGATGCATGAGACAGCCGGACGCCAACACAACGACACTTCACAACTTCCAGGAAGCTCCATGGGTGTGGATGCTACCGTTTCAACTTCCCCACAATTGTTTTATCAGACTCTACTTTTCCTTCAAAAATAATGGCTAAGGTTAGGGAGCTGTGACATTTTATCTGAGACAACCTGTGTGCCCCCTTGTGCGTAAGCGCTGTGGTCGGCGGGCCGCGCTTTCGGTACCACACGGCTTCAGTCTGCTACCGCACGCTGCGGCCAGCACACATACACCAGGAGACTCGGGGAGTTTGGGCTATGGTTTTAGTTCTGAGCTTAAAAGGTAAGTAAAATGATATTTTCAGCAGGATAAAAAATACCTGTGTCTTTTAAAATAGGGGTGAACTGAGAAGTTTGGACCCTTGAATTCAAAAGCTCTTGTTCACTTTGCTGATAGCCACTGAAATTCTAAGAGAGAACCAACAAACCAGTAACAGTGAGCGTACAGGACAAGCCCCAGATTCACTGACACGTGGGCTTGCACTGGTCCATACAATCACATCCTTGACACACTCATGTGTCAAGGGCACATTTCAATGACATGACCAACCTCCTAAGAGCAAGCTGGGAGCAAGGAGAAAGGCTAGGCTGCCATCTGCACAGGGCTGGCTCTGCAGGGGCAGCTCATCAGCTTGACCACATATGCTAGTGGCCAGTCCAGCTGGGTCTCAGACAGCCAATGGGTGTAATTTCCACAGCATTTTTGTCTCTCCATGGAGACAGGGCCTCAATGCATATGCATGAAAGACAGACACAGAGGTGCCACATCTGGGCTGTCGATCCTTCACAAATGGTGAGGCTTTCATCAGTAAGAGATACCTTGGCCCCAGGACTCGCAAAACAACCCTCTCCCCCCTTCAGTGGCCAGTCTGTCCCCCGAGGAAAAGCTACCCCACAAGCAGCTTCCCTGTGGTTCTTTTATGCACACGGCGTGGCCACTGCACACGCGTTCGTGGGGAAGAGGTGAGGTCACGCTGGGATACTTGCCACTGAGAAGAGGCTTGTTGAGGGTATAGAGAGGGGGCAGGTCTTCGATGTTGGAGATCCGCTGGTACATGGCCCTGGAGAGGTGGTCCCCGTGGTACAGGCTGCCCAAGATGATGCTCGAGAGGTAAATGGGCTCCACGAAGATGCTGAGCAGGGAGCCCTGGATGCCCACCACGTTCCACCTGCGGGCAGAGGGAGCGGGCCTCAGCGGGCGCAGCGTCTGCGCAGACCTGACGCCCACCTGCTGGGTGTGCAGATGTCGTTAATGCTGCACCACGTCAGCCAATTAAAAAGAGAGCAGCTAGAAGTAACCAACTTAGCAGCTTAAAGTGTTATAGAGAAAAAGCTACTTAAAAAATCATGTTGGCTGTAAAATGGCATTTTGCCACAATGAAACGCTGACTGAAGGTTAGTTCTAGCAAGGTATCCATGAGGCATGTGAGAAAAATCAAAAGGGAGAGTAAATGTTTTATCACTTCCAATAGAAATGATCTCTCTGGAGTCCTTAAAACCACTCAACGGTCATTTCCCTGGTCCTTAGCGACACCTCTGGCTCAGGGTCCTTTTCACACTCGGAGGCGAGAACCTCGGGAGGAGGTGTGTGCTCTCGCTGCCCACTGGTCACTGAGCCTGCCCTGTCAGTCACAGCAGCGGCGACACTGGAACCGCACTGGGGCTGACTGCAGGACCCTCACCGAACCAGTCATTCACATCGCTGACATCCAGGGGCTTGTTTGAGCTCTAACTGAGACATCATCCCTCAAACATGCCACTGCTCTCTCTCTGAGCCCCAAGGGGAGAAACACTCTGCAGCCCGGGAGTCCGCACCCTCAGTGCTGGCCTCATCCATGGGACCAACGTCACAGCCCACATGGTCCTGGAGCCTGGGGACAAGCAGTCAAAAGGAAAACACATGAATCAAGAATTAAAAGTTGAGCTGAAATGCATTTGAGGGAGAGCAAGGTTCCACGACAGAGCAGAAGAGGGGTGCTGGCTTCAGGGAAGGCTCAGAGAAGGTGACCCTGAACTTGGGCCCAGAGGGGGAGTTAGGCAGAGGGAACGAGCCACCACCCAGACCCAGCGGGGGACAGGCCCAGGCCAGGGTGGAGCCAGGGCAGGGACAGGCCTGAGCAGCCTCCGCTGGCCCTGGCTGTCCTCAGGGCGAGGAGCTCCTGAGGCCTCCCAGGGAGGGTGGGGCCACCCGATTCAATGGAAGTGCTTTCCCGAGAGGGTCTTTTGTGGAGATGAGCTGCCAGACTGTGGGGAAAGTCTGGTGGGATGGCAGCCAGGTGGTGGCCGTAGGACAGCCTCTGCAGCGCAGGTCAGAGGTGAGTGGGGGCAGCAAATGTAGAAACATGAGTGCTCCCCTGTCTTCTTCCCGTGTCCACTCTCTCCACTGGCGACCACCTCTGCCGTATCTCCGGCCTTCCAGCATGGTCAGAGCTGGGAACCTCGCCCTAAACCCTGGCCCACCCAGCTCCATGTCCCACCCTCAGGCCAAACTCGCTCCTTCGTCCCTGTCACTGAAGAGACCTCCTTTCTCAGGGGTCCAGACGCCACCTCTGCTGAGGCACAGCCCCGCCTCCACTGATTCATCCTCTCCTACGTCCCCCATGGCCCCCAACCTAGCGCCCATCCCCAACAGCAGCTGCCTGACCTGTGAAAATGCAGGTCGGACAAGGTCACTCCTGTGCACAAAACCCGCCAGCACTCCCATCTTCTCCGAGAAAAGGCCATCATCCCTACAGCTGCCAGCCCGTCTGACCCAGCTCCTCTCCCTGACCCTCCAGCCTCGGGGCCTCCCACGCTCAGCTCGGGCCACCAGGGTCCTGCTGCCCCCTCCAGAGTCCTTCCTCTGGATCCTCCATCCCGGAACATGGCCCATGGCGCTTCATCCTGGAACCACGGTCCCCTTCGATGTGTCTGTGGAAAGTCTTCCTTGGTGCCCTGTACCAGCCCCTCCTGTGTTACTTGCATGTCTATTTTTTTGTCTCCCCACCCCTACCAGTATGTAAGCTCCTGGGGGAAGGACTCTGTCCCTGATCTGTTCCAGCTTAAACTGTGCACCAGGTACATGCAGGTCGATAAGCAGGTGCCAAGCAGGCAAATTCTCCAATTCCTACCTCTCCCGCCTTCTCAAACAATTAAAACACAGGTCTCCTGTCTTACAAGGAAAAGCAGGACATGACTGGATGCTTACCAAAACCACAGGCACCTTTCTGTGGAAATTCAGGCCATCCTTAGGCAGAATGCCACCTCCTGGGCCCACTCTAAAACACTGACGCTGCAGAAAGCTCGGTTTGCTATGAGTCGTTAATTCGGGCACATGCTCCAGAAGAGTGCCAGGAGCTCCGGATGGCTCTGTGGAGGCCCTGGTGGAAGTGGGGTGCACACTGCCACTGCTGACAGGCTCCACCCCTGAGCATCACAAAGGGCAGTCAGGACCGAACTTCACCAGGAGGATAAATGCCCAGTGATGGCCAAGGGGCCCAGTGACTTTTGCTTTTCCCTGGGGAGGGTGCAGGGTTCAGAGCAGTTTGCTGGTGACACTTGCTTGGGTGACACTGGAAGAACCACCAGGTGCTGAGTGCTCACTCGGCCGCTGTGCTCGCTGCCCAGGCCGCTTTCTCTCTCACCTTCCTTACATCATTTCTCAGAGGACAGGGTTCAGGGCACTGCCGTTCCCGCGAGTCCCTGGATCCGTAAAGTGCCTGGCCCAGTCCTGAGAGGCTGAGTGTGCAAGCTGCCCGTGGCCAGGCCAGTTGTCACAGGAGAGCTCTGACCAACCACAGCCTCCTCAGCACCTGGCCCAGACAGTCAGGACTTGGTCAGCTGCCCTAACTATTGTCCCTGCTTCCAACTTCGGGTCCTCAGAGAAAGCCCAGCCTGCGCCCCAACAGAGGCAGCCCCACTTCTGGAGAGTGAGCCCCAACCTCCATGGGACACACCTGAGCCTCCCTGGTCCCATGGAGCTGTCCCGCCCGGCCTGCCCACACAGTGGGGCCGCCCCCCACCCCCAACCCCAGCAGCTCTGACTAACCAAACTGTCTGCCCTCAGCGGTGGTCTCTGCTTCCTCCCACAGCTCCATGTAGTCCATAGCACAGAGGCCAGGGTCATCAGACTGGAGACCCTGGCGCCTTCTCACAGCCCAGCTGACGCAACACGCCATGAGATGGTTAACCCCACTCTCGTCACTGTGACCCATGCAACCTTGAGGGGGGCCGTAGCTGCCTTCAGCCAAACTGCCCACCGACCCACCAGACAGCGCCTGGTGACCCCAGCGGTAGCTCTGCACCTCCCTCCCCACCGACAGCCCACTGCAGCCTCACTCCTACGCCTGCCCTCTGCCCCTGGCCCAGGTCCTGCCCCGCAGGTTGGGACTACGGGACACTGCTCTGTCCCCTGTGAGGGACACAGGACACCTCGCCAGCACCTGCCCACTGCCTCCCATCCGTGACGGCCTCTCGGGTGGCTGTTCATTTCATTCCCTCAGGACAGGACAGGAGGACTGCAGCCAGCGGGCAGCGCTCCGGCCACCACGCTGTTTCTGGGCCACGGCTGTTCTTGCTGGAAGCATGACCATCTGTCAGTGTGACACTGAGTATTAAGCCCCTTTCAATCACACCCGAGTTTACAAAAATGAGGTGACTCTAGGAGGATGGGGGCCAGCTGCCAGGGGAACAGACTACATAATTAGAGGGGGTGGGAGAGGAACTGGGGGTCAAACGGATCACCAATAATCAATGATGCGATCAGTCCTGGCTATGTGACAGAGATCTGCGTAAAACCCAACAGGCTGGTGAACCCATCAGATGGGAAAGGAGGGGGGAGGGGGTCACTGCTCACAGGGCACCTTCGTTTCTTCCTTCTCCTCGGCTGGGTTTGTTCTGTTGTTTTGTTCTATTGTTCTCTTTCCAGCCGACTGCTGTGGCGCTTTTGTCATTTACCTACAGTCATTTTCTAGTTCCCACTGCGATTTCTCCTGTGAGCCCTGAGGTATAACTGGCATGCGCTGTACGGTACTGTATAAGTTGAAGCATATGATTCGGTAAGTAGCACATGTGTTTCTACCTGGAGACCATCACTCCCCGAATCTTGCTCATACCTTATTCACCTTGTTCCATTCCTTCCTCACTGTCCCTCTTACTCTGATCCCTGTCCCCCTCTTCCCTACGCCCCGGGCAACCACTGATCTGCATCTGTCACTGCAGACCAGTTTGCATGTTCTAGAAATGTACATACTTTTGGGGATCTGGTTTCCTTGACTCTGAATAATTATTTTTAGATTTGCCCAGGCTGCATGTGCATCATTGTTTATTATTATTTGCCTGAGTGGTGCCCCACTGCAAGGAGAAGCATCGTTTGGCCACCCCTGTACTACTGCTGCCACTTGTATTGCTCCTAGTTTTTGACATTACAACGAAAGTTGGACACATGTCATTATACATTTGTCCAAATCCACAGAATGTGCACCACCAAGAGTGACCCTAACACAATGTGTCAGTGTAGGTTCATCCATTGAAACCATGTGCCCTCTGGTGGGGGATGGGCAGGGCGGAGGGGGTAGAGGGCATATGTGAATCCCTGTACCTTTGTCTTAATTTTGTTATGAATCTAAAGAAATGTGTAGGATGGTAGTTTTCCATTGTGTGTTTTACCACAATTATAATAGGTCAGTGATGCCACCAATAATTACACAGAATATATAGCAGATAACAAGATAATCATCCCACTAACACCGAAAGTATAAAGTTCTAGGAATCTGTTAAAAACTGCCTGACATTTTTGTGAAAAACTATAAATGCTGTAAAAGAAATATTTTAAATATGGAAAGAGATATAAAATATTCATGGGTGGACTGATTTAACTTCATATCAATTCCTTTCAACTCAGTCCATAAGTTCAATGCAGTTTCATATGTTATCTCAGCAAGACTTTGGGAGACACTAGACAAGATGACTCTAAAATATGTACAGAAGAACAGAGAATCATAAAAGGCTATCAAAAGTTTGAAAAAAAAAATGACTAAAGAATGGCAGTTTTATCCCACCAGATCTTTAAACTATTAAAATGTCAGAATAATCTATATATATAAAAGCCTAAGTGACTGTTAGGACTGGTCCCTATGATGTGCACTGACCACCAGGAGGCAGACACTCAATGCAGGAGCTGCCCCCTGGTGGTCAGTGCACTCCCACAGCCAATCTCCTGCGGTTCCCTCCATCCTGGCCCGATCGGGGCTGGGCAAGATGACCCAAATCAGCCCCATTGTCAGCCGGGCCAAGGAACCCCACCCATGCATGAACCCCACCCATGCATGAATTAGGCCTCTGGTAGACTAATAAAGAATCTAGAGTCTAGAAATAGACCCATCCTTGTGGAGCTCAGTATATAACAGGTGCCTTCACAAATCAGGGAGAAAATATAGGTTATTCAATAGAAAACTGACTTTCTGTATTAAAATAAAGCTAAATTACAATACAAAAGTGTTAAAGGCCTAAATGTGAAAGTGAAATGATAAATGTCTTAGAAAGAAGGACAGCAGAATATTTTTATGCCCTTAATTTGAGGAGGGATTTCTTAAATAAGATCCTAAAAGTACAAATCACAGGGTGACAGATCGATGGATAAGATTACATCAAAATCAGGGGATTCTATTCCAAAAAGGACAGCACAAAGTTAAGAGGGACTTGGACCTGAGGAGGCACTGCATTGTCTCACACTGTTAAGGATTACAAACTACAAAAGGAACTTTTGCGAATCAAAATGGAAAGGGCATGAGGTTCAATAGACAATGGCCAGGATATACACAGGGAATTCACAGGAGCAAGATGGGGGTTGAGGAGATGCTCAACACAACTAGTGAGAGGAGAGATGAACAGAAACCCTGAGTCAGCATCGGGAGCGAGGGGAGCTAACCTCGGCACACTGGACTGCGTCAGCTGGAGGGCCGTTAGGTACGCCAATAGTGCTGTGTGAGGAACCTCTGGATACCACGGCCTATATCGAGTTGCTTACGGGGTCTCAAGGCTGCAAGGGGAGCTAGCTGAAATCCACGTGTCCATCACAAGGGGAAGGACATAACGTGGCCATGACTATGATGCAGGGGTCAATGGGCTGGACATAATGGCATCAGGGAGAGTCCCCCAAACACAGGGTGAATGAAAATACGGGGTACAGAATGGGATTTGAAACACAATGCCAAATCTGTAAACGAACAATATACACCTATTTTTCAAAGACACGGACACACACTCACACACAGAAGCGGGATGGACAGCGAATACAAAGGCATGTAATTAGGAAGCACATAGTGTGGGCACCTTGCTGGGTGGGAATAGGCCATGGTGTATGATTCATTTAGCTCCGTGCCCCCTAGGTTCCCTGGCATGACCATTAGAGAACGTCACAGCCAAGCTTACAAACAACAGACAAAATGTACACACACACATGCGTCGGCTCTGACAGCTCTCAGGAGGGCATTTAGGACCCAATGGAGCGCTCTGAGGGGAGGAGATTTTATTTTACATGCTTTTCTACCATTGCCCTCTGCCCATGTGATTTTTTCAAATAGACATTTGTTAAAAGTTACAGGACTACGAGAAATGAGAGCAGCATTTGAAGTAATGGGTTTTTAAAATCTGCCTGGGATGCAGGTTCTTGAAAGAATAACACTTCTCAGGGGAAGGCAAACTCAGGGTGTTTGCAGCACCCAGCCTCCCCTCCCCATGAGGGGGTGCTCTCGGTGCTCAGAGCACAATGCCTGTGAGGGGTGGGTGTCACATTATTTTTAAGATGTAAATACCAATCACCCCAAATACTAACTGAATAGTAAATATGATTGTTAAAGTGCATCTATGATGAATGAGGAACCTCTTTGCTTTCTCTGGGAGCAAATCGTTTTAAAATAGTAGAACACATCAGTTCACTCCAGAAGCCCACATCTATAATAATAAAACCATAATATGCTAATTGGACTGGGCAGCCAAATGTCCTTCCGGATAAAGCTGCTGCGGCTATGAGGGCCGAGGGCAGGCAGCAGTGGAGGAGTAACAGGGACAGCGTCTTCCCTGATTGCCCGTTGCCTCCCACAGAGGGGAGCGGGCCTAAGCCATCAGTAGGACATCCCCTGAGGGCTCCCGGACTGTGAGAGGGGGCAGCCGGGCTGAGGGAGCCCCTCTTCCAGTGCACGAATTTTCATGCACCGGGCCTCTAGTATAACAATAATAATTAAGGGCGAGATGGTTGTTTTGCTGAGTAGCAACCTGGAGCCTCCTAGGTAAAGGCCCACATTCACCCCCTCGAAGGGTCCTGGAGCCCCTCCCTCCTAGAGCTTTTATCCTTCAAAGAATGTTGGGAACATTAAAGTGGGGAGGGGGGCAAAAACCAAACCGTTTTGAAAGTGGGTAACTGGTGTAGGAGGAAGGTCAAGTGCCCACAAGGGCACAGTGGGGGATACCTAGGAACCAGCAGGGTGAGTCTGGCGCAGTGGGTGCTCCATGGCCTTACCGTGCCATCTTGTCGCTGCAGGACATGGTGAGCAGCCTCTCGCCCTGCAGCACCCCGTCCCACGTCTGGATGCTCGCATTCGAGCGCACGGGGATCGTCCCCTCGCCAGATTCTATCTTCGTCCGCAGCTGTCCCCGGGCTTTGCGATTCGGGTGTCTGTCTGCCGGTTCTAAGAGAGAAAGGGGAGAAGGAAGCTACTGGTGGGAAATCATCTGCTTCACTCACTGAGACGCACATCTAACTACCCCCCACCCATTTACCACACGTCCACCTGTAGGTGCTTATGGTTGTTCTATATTTATAGGACATATGTGCAGTGTAAGTATATAAAAACTGGACAGGAAGGATATAATATGAACCAAATTCACAGAATTGGCCTCCTTAGGGGTTTGGGAAAATGAGGGCTTCCTTTTTAACCCAAGTGATTGATTTCTATTGTTAAAAAGGAACTGAAGCAAACAGGACAAAATGCTAACATTTGTTCATTCTAGATGTTGGATATTTGGGTATTTGTTATATTCCCCCCCCCCTCCCACATTTAAAAATTTCCTAAGAAAACCCATATGGATGCTAAATAAGCCCACAGGAAGCACGCACACACGGTGACTACCCCTGGGTCATATGAACACGGGCAATTTGGATTTTCTTTCTTATTTAAAAAATATTTAGTAATTTCCACAATTGATTTTTGTTGCTTTTATAATCAAGAAAAACAATGCAATCAAGTGTTCTATTTGGAACAAACAAGCTTTCGGGGAGAGAGGTGGATACAAATCCGTGGAAAACAGAAATCTGTGGAAAACATGTGCAGAGAAGGGCGGGGAAAGGTGATAGAAACAGGGTCTCCTTTTTCACTCGTCTAATCTGCTGTTGTGGTTTCAGCCAAACAATCACACATTGACTAAGTCACAGTTCATCAGAAACAGCAAGAGGATGTGCATCTCTGATTTAGACACAGACAAGGTGTCCCAAAGATTGTGACAACCTGCATAGTATCCACATTTAAGTGCTGACATCCATTTTGACCTGGTGTCCTCATTCTATTCCAATCCCACAGTTCATTAGAGTCAACATTTTCATTCATTAAAATATTCTCATTAATTATCCATGGAGAAGTAAAACCTCCTGCTTTTATTTAGTCCCCAGGTCCACGTTCAAGGCTGACACGGAAAGAAGGGTATTGATGTAAGTCTATTATTTTGTCACCACATGGCCACGCATCGAGACACCGCGGACTGTCCAGACGCCTGGCCGTACCTTCCAGGATTGGTTCGTGAGGCGAGAAGATCCTGGCGTCCCCGCAGGGCGAGGTGCTGATGTACAGGTGGAACTGGACCGTGTCCTTCAGCCGAAAGCCGCCCCGCTCGGACTTTTGGAAGATGGACTTCTTCTGATCCTCTTTGCTACTGAAAGGAAGCAAGTTGGAGAGTAAGTGCTCCAGCCACGTGCAGTCCCAACGCGGTCTGTCCCAGCGCCCAGAGACTTTAAAGGCCTATGTTTCAACAGGATACAGACGAGCTGGGATTGGCACCTTCTTTTCCCATGTTTATGATCATTCACACGGTTCCTGTCACTCAACAATGAACAGGTCATCGAGATGCGAGCATTTACCCTTTCCTTCTCATTTCTGATTCCAAACAGAATGTGTAGAGATGGCTTTATAGAGCAAAGCCGTTTGGATATGTGATGGGCTTGTGTGAGGCACAGGGACTGGGATAAAAACGACCGTGTCTACAGGCAGTGGAGTCTACTGATATCAGCCCGCAGGAAACAGAAGCCCAGGGTCTGAGCACAGCCCTGAAATCGGCGATATTATCATGCATGTGTGCATACGTGTGTGCTCCTACGTACATGTGTATATGCATGTGTGCTATAACTTAGCCAACTCTACTTGTAGCTTGAGCATCATGGGAAGATGGGATCCAACCTCACTGTTACTGACAAAGTTACTATTTTGAGAATTTGTGAGTGAAAGTTCTGCAGTGTTTTCTGACAGGGGGAGGGGAGAAGGCAATGCTTTTTAAAACAGCTTCCTTTACTTACTTACTAGACTTACTTTAGGTACAGCTCAAGCTGTGTGTAAAGGAACCTGAGCAAGGACCGCCGAGATATGATCTCTGCGTGGCAGTCATTCAGAGCGAGGCCACGGTCACTCATGTACTCGCCGTTAATACACTTCGTTCCTGTGGAAACGCATATCACCTGGGCATCTTTAACATCGGTGCCTGGAAAACAAGAGAGACCGGTCCTCTAAGTCACAGTCACCTGCCCACCGCGCCCCAGGGCCTGACACGTGTCCGCAGAGACGGAACCTGGCAGAGACCTCAGCGCGCACTCACTCTCCACGCCTATCCCAGCCAACCACAGCCTCCAAGAGGGCCAGCTCTGGGACCCCTGGGAGCCAGCCGCCCTGTCTTCCGTGTGAAGGTTCTGAGCCTGAGGAAGTGACTCCTCGGGAATGGAACAGTCTTTCTTGAACAGTCCCATGGGTACAGGGAGAAAGCACTATGTGAAGGCAGGTAAGTGGTCTGGTTATGAATCTTAAGATTAATATGAAAGCACTAAAGAGCAACGAGGGAGGAACAAGAAGGAAAACAGGGCATTCACAGTGTGCTGGCCAGGAGTCTCTGTCACCCCCTCATGCTGGACGGAAGCCCGCAGCCCCGGGCACCTCCAGAGGAGCGGCCACTCTGCGGTAAATCTGTCACAGATGTGCTGCCAAGGCCTGACAAACTGCACCACCACCAGCTGCGACGGTACCGCCCAGAAGTGTGTTAGTGCTACCGTCGGGGAGAGGAAGCCACACTGTGCTGGGTTCACCAGGGAAGATTTTCTCACTTCATCCCCACATCCTTAAGGTGCATGGCACCACTGCCTCTGTTTTACAGACCAGGAATCTGAGGCACAGAGGGGCTAATAACCTGCCCAAGGTCATTCAGCAAGTGCAGGCCATCGGAGGTCAGAGCCAGGTGCCTGCTGGCAGTCCTGCCTGCAGGTGCAAACTGTGGCTTTGAGCGGTGGGATTCACTGCAGGCATCTGCCTCTCCTCAGGCAGTGAGCAGAGCTAGGTGACAACAGGCCACATACCACAGAGCCTGCTCAGGGAGCTGCTGCCTCAGCAGCTGAGACTGCTCCTTTCAGTTCCGTAAATAGTACAAGCACAGAGAGAAGAGGAGGAAACTACAAACATCAGACAAAACCCGAAACCCACGTTAACGTTCAGAGTTCTTCCTCCGCCTCCAGACACATGCTCAGCTGTGCCAAAGCACACACGTGGCGGGAGGAGCTTGTGATTCGAGTCTTCACATTCTCCAGGGCGAGCGGGGATCAAGGCTAGGATTATAGAACCGGGTCCTCTCCCCAGTGGGCCAGAGAACTGCCTCGGGAGAGACCAGTACAGCCAGCCTCACAGAGAGCTGGGTTCTCCTGGCTGGTGGAGTCAGGTGCGCCATCCCCAGCCCTCCTCCCTGGCCTCCAGCAGGGAGGGGTGGGGGAAAGGGAGCCTAACTCCAGCACAGGCCGTGGGTGCTGCCAGCAGAGGGCGCTGCACATCCCGCTCGTCCCGCCCGCCCAGGGCTGGACTGGGCACTGGCCAGTGTGCTTCCTGCTCCTAGGAGTCACCACAGAGATGCAGCCTGAGGTCCCACTTCCGGTGTGGGGAGAAGACCTGGGGAAGGGTTCCATCTAGACAAATTTAATAAGGTTCCTTCTGCCTTCCAAACCGTGCTTTTCCCCAGATTTTCAACTCTGCTGGACTTCCTCTCTCCCCCACAAGCCACACGGAAACCTACCTGGCAGCATGCACACTTAACGGTAAGTCAGACAGGCCCTACTTTCCCATGAGCAGGGATTAATGTCTCTTGCAGTTTCCTGAGCAGACCAGACCACTCTCACACGATCATGGGAACCTAACCCTACAGAGGGGCTTCTCCACAGGAGAACAATTAGGTCGAAGAGATGAACATTTGGGGAAAATATGTAAGTACAGTTCCCACATTTGCAGATGACAGACATTCTGAAGAAGAAGGAAAACACAATTTTCCTGACAGAGGTTTCTATGACGCAAGATGTTTACCTGTTGTCATGACGATTCCAGCAAGAACCTTCCTGCGTGCGTGGGGGGAGGTGAAGTTCTCCGTCAGATCACCGAACTTATCCAGAACCAGGCGGGCCACGGCGTCGGCTAACACCTGGGGACCAGAGCAGGGGGTTAGGCACCTGCCCCTGCCCCCCGAAAGCCAGGGTGATGGCTCCGATGCCTTCTTTTCTGGAGAATCCCACACCAAGTCTGGCAAACAAGTGTGTGCGTGTGCACATGTGTGTGTGTGTTTCCTCCAAAACACACATCCGAGGAGCATGTGAGGCCATGGCTGGAATCTTTTGACAGGGCCTAGAGGGCAGGGTCAGCCCTGAGCCCGGCCGGTGGGCATTCGAGCTAGTGCATGTGGGGCATACCCTGATGCCTCTCTGGTCCTCACGGCACACCAGCCCCACCCTCTGATGAGGACACCCAGGAGGAAGGGGCCAGAGTGCTTTCCTGGGGTCACCTGCCTCCCCCTCCGCTGCTCTGCTGCCCAGGCTCTTTCAGGAGAAAGAGGCAAGTAAAAGTGATCAAATTAAAGAAGCGTGAGCTCTGCACAGCACACCCTCTCTAAGGCCCTGCCCCATCAGGTATGTCTCAGTTATTCCAACCCCTGTCCCATCACCTGGCTCAGTCTCTCCCTTCGAATCCAGCCCTGAGCAGAGCCTATGGGCAGCTGTCACTGAGCTCAAATGACAGCGGGATGGACTCAGGGAAGGTGTTCAGCAAGGCCTGGAACACCTCACTGCATGTGACCACACCCAGCAGCACTGTCCTCCAGGGAGTGCTTCTTAGAAGCCAACACATTAGATTTGGGACATGTCTTATGACTCAAGTTATTGTAGATAGAGTGAACCTGGGAAATGGTGCTAACTGTGTGTGTGTGTGTGTGTGTGTGTGTGTGTGAAGAGCCACACTTAATCTATATCCCCCTTATCTCACACTGGTCTTGACAATCAAATGGCCAAATCTAATGTCCCCTTAATAAAATAGAAAAGTCACTCATCCTAAATTATGGCTTATTTGGAAAAAGCATAGCTATCAGAAAGCTCTCCTCCCATCATTGCTAGAATCCAGCAAATTCCAGCGAGCCCCCGGGGATATGCTCAAGACCAGCCCCGTGGAGGGTGGGCAGGAGGTCCAGGCGGGACCCTCGGGCCTTACCTGGCACCTCAGCAGAGGCATCGATGCTATAGATGTGAACACAGGGGAGGGAGCCAGAGCACAGACAGAAACAGACGTGAAATCACACAATGGAAGGGCACCACAGATAAAGGACCACACATAGAAGGAAAACAATGAGAGGCTAACGAGAGCCGGAGGAGAGAGTTTTGTTTCACAGAATGTGAGGCGTACCTGCACGTTTTCAGAGGCCGGGCACATCTGTGCACACTCCTGTGCGATGCCAGCATTTGCACTCGGGGACGTTCTTCTCTCCCTTAAAGAGGCCACTGCCTCATTCTTTAGGGGTGATGAAGCACCTCTCCCTCTAAACGAGGGGGTGGGTATAACCACAAACTGACAAGCTCCTCAATGGCAAACCCTCACCACCGCAGGCCCCCGGCACTGCCTCCTGAACGACCCTCAGGGTGGAGGGCCTGGAGGATTGGCTGGGCCACTTTAGTAAGTCACTGCTGACAGGGTGTTTCGCACTCACCACGTGGTTAATGCCACCTGCTTTTTAAACTCTAGTGCCACTATGAGCACCATGAAGGCAGAGAATCCTAAGACCAGGGATGTCTGACCCAAGTCCAGCATGGGTTACTCTTGGGAGACATAAGGCTTTCCACCCACCCTAGAGGCACATTGGAGGGCTTCAGGGGAAAGACAGCGGAGCCCAGAAACAAGGCCTGGGCTGACTGCAAAGCCACCCCCAGGTCCTGCAGGAAGACATGGCTACCGGGGCGCAGAGGCCTCTGGGAGACACTATGGGGCTACTGAGAGCAGAGACTGGGAAGCAGATACAGCTGCACACCCCCAGGCCTCCCAGGCTGGAGACCACAGAAACCCGGTACCTGCTGCTCAGCCCAGCAGAACCTGCACAGGTGGTACAGGTGGGGCTGGGAGGCCCTCCCACCCGCACCCCCATAGGACCCCAGACACTCTCCCCAGAGAGGCTGCTAGGCCCCACTTTCCCAGGCCAGGGCCGCTGGTCACTGCCCTACTGAGCCTGGCCTACGGCTCGGGCTGCAAATGCCACACATGCACACACATGTGTGTGCATACACACAGACCTCCTTCTGCCCCCGCTTCAGTTACTCGTCTGCACTGCAAAACCTGGCCTCTTAGGCAACATAAAATAAATTTCCCTCTTTTAATACTGAGGACCGTGGTCATTTCAGAGGACTGAACACAGGCCTCTCTAACTGGTTCAAAGACAAAAGAGAAGCCGACATTCTCGGATCCAGCTGAGAGAATCCAGGCCAAACTATCTATCGAGTCCTTCACTTTCTCTGATCAGATCACAATATATTTTATCTTCAAACTGAACAATACGGTGACAAGAAGGAATAAACAGAGGAAAGGGTCATATTTTCTCCCGAAAAGACCAATTTTTACAGTAGACCAGAGAGCTTGGGATTTCTAAGAAAAGAGCAATAAATACTCATAGCTGCAGTGTTTGGAGATGACACTAGTGCCATTTCTCCTTCAGTCTTCCTCTTTCACAGATTCTAATCTGAGTCCCAAGCATTTCCTTCTGTTCACTCTGATTTTAGGGGGAAGAGGGGCCAGGCAGGAGGGAGCCTGCATAAATACCATATGGGGAATTCCAGGTACAGAGAGACCTGGGTGCCTGGGGGGCCCTGGAGAATCAGCTTAAGGGCCCCCTACACCCCTATCCCTCTGACACACGGTCCCTGCACGGTAGGCTCAGGAATGCACTGCCAGCCAGTCCCGCTTGGAGCCCTTGGGTTTCAGCAGCTGAATGGCCAGACTCACTCCTTCTGTGGCCAGAGCCCTAGGGAGATGTAGAAATACCCTGGGCTGGGCAGATTCTGGTGCCTGCCCCCCACCTCATCATCAGAGGCTGCTGTGGGACCCCTCACCCCGCAGGGCAGCTACACGGGGAGGGCACTGTGGACTGTCCTTCTGGGTGAGGCTCAGCGTGGAGAGGGCTGATGGCGCTGCTCCGGTGTCCCCACCCTGTGCCGTGATGGCCTCAGACGGCTCCCCAGGGGCCACCTGGCCATCCCAATCTAGGAAGGCTGCCCGGCAGCCACACTTACTGCCGGCTGCTCATGGTGAGGGCAGAGTGGCAATGAACCCCAGTGCGGTGTGAAGCATGACCGCGCGGACAGACTTTGCCTCACCTGGGGCAGGTGTAGCTGGAGGCCCTCGCTGAGGATGGGCTGGCGAGATGGCGTTTGATCCAAGTGCAAGTTAAAAATGGTGGCCAGGGCAGACTGCGCGGCCCGGGCCTTGGCCAGCTTTTTGTTCCTCCCCGAGCCTTCGAAGAACTGGCCGTCCACCACCACGGACATGACGAAGTTCTTGGCGTGGCTCTCCCCGCTCTCCGACAGGAAGTCGTACTTGAGGCCCGGGCGCAGCTCGTTCAGGATCATCACGGGGTTCTTCCCGGCGGGCGGGGGGAACGGGGGCAGGACCGGGAGGGGCGGCTGGACGACGGTGGCGGGCACGGGGGAGGCGGACAAGCTGAGGTCCCCGCTGGAGCTGAAGGAGTCGTCGCCGCCGTTGGAGCCCATGTAGAAGGGCACTTCGGACCTGTCCGGAGTCTCGAAGCCGTTGAAGAGCGCGTCGGGGAAGTCCGCCTGGTCCGACGTGAAGTCCGTGTTGGCGGACAGGCTCCGGCCCATGGCCAGGTGGGCCTCGGAGGCGTTGGGGAACTGGACGAAGGAGCGCAGGGCCTTCTCGGCCGCCTGCAGCTTGGCCTTCTTCTTGGTGGGGCCGGAGCCCTCGAACACCTGCCCGTTCACCTCCACGGAGATGACGAAGAGCGGTGCGTGCACCGGCCCCGTCTGGGACAGCAGCGTGTACTGCAGGCCGGGCTTGATCTCGTTCAGCTGCATCAGCGCGTTCTTGGGCAGCGCGGGCCCCGGCGCCCTCCTCCGCTTCTTCAGGCGGAACTTGGCATGCCCATTGCTGCCCTCGTCCAGGGGCCGCTTCCTGCCGACGCCGCCCCCGCCCCCGTTGGGGAGCAGGTAGCTGTCAGCCGGCCCCGGAGCGCTGTCCCCCGGGGGCCCAGGGTCCACACTGCAGCTGTCCTTAGCCTCTGTGCTGCTCGAACCTGCGGTGCCCAGAAAGAGCAACTTACAACGCCTTCGTTGCAGGATCTTGTAAATGCAAAATTTATAGATTCCTTTATCTCTCTTTGTAACTGGGTAAGTGATGTGTGTGCTACTTTACTGCCTGCTGCACACGGGAGGGCTGCACATTTACCACCGACTCAGGGCCTGACATTTTGCTGAATAATGGCTCCTACCATGTCTATTTAGTGTCCCCAACTGCTTTTACATTAAAAGGTGAATTTTTAAATAACTTTTCTGAGAATATGCTGAAGCATCAGAATGTGGGGTGATACATGTATCCAGAAGACCGTACATTGCTAAGTCTGAAGTCGGCACTGACACGTTGTTTATTTTGGCATTTCCCCTACCGACGGCATTTTCTCTCACTGGGCTTTGCACTGCAGCTCTCCCAGAGGAAGTGACATATTTAAAAGCAGCATTTACAGGCTGGTTCGCTCTCGAGCTTCAAAATATTCCATCAATTTGTGCAGCTATTTGATTCGGTTCATGAGTCAGTCTTAGGAATCTGCTTATGTAATTACATAGAGTATTCTGCCCATTTAGAAATGATTTTTAAAGGATACAACTTCATTTCCAGTATTCATTGAAAGTTTTTTCATTACACATGGGGACTGATTTACCTCTGAATTTTTAATACAGTCCACATTAGAAAAAAAAATCTTTGAGAAGATGTAAAATTGAAGCTGCACCAGGCAGGCTACCACCTCCTCACTAAAGCTGGAAATTACAGACTAACTTGGTCATTCTATCTTCTAAAGGTGTTTATACTTAATAAAGATCAGTTTAGGACTCTGAAGGTTCATGGCAAAAATATGATTTGAATTTCGAAAAGGGGGATAAAAGAGTATTTAGTCTCCCCTTTACTCTTATTGGACGTTTTAAAAAGGAGAACGAGAAAAAGTTCCGTTTCCCTGGCACGTTTCCACAGGCCGCTTGCTGCATGGAGCGCAGGAGCGGTGACCACAGGGCGTGGGGCGTTGATGGCAGTGCATGTAAGACCTGCCGCTAGCTTTCGGAAACCCACAATAAATCTTCTACGTGACCAAACTATTTTTTACAACGTTCACTGATTTACAGTGCCCAGAGTGGAGGCCTGGGTCTATTTCGACAGCACAGCGTAAACGCAGGCTCTCATCATGCTGAGCTCTACCCACAGGAGGGCCTCACGGGACAGAGGCCTGGGCCCCAGGCCACCAGCATCAGCCGAGATGTGCTTGCACACACCCCTGGGGGAGCCGGCTCTCCTTTGGCGGTGGTGAGAGCCAGGTGCCCTTCCTCTGCAGACAGCTCCTCCCAGGCCCTGACACACACACCACTTCTCCCAGTTGACAAAGCTGACGGAATAGGCACTAAATTTTCATTTATAACATCCTCCAGCAAAAGCTCGATAGGTTACTCCTTTCGGTGCTCAGAGGGAACACAAGGTGAGAAGGGCAGAGCGAGACAGGTTAGAGGGACAGGCAGCGAGGGCGCCACAGAGGACCGCGGGCGGACGTGCTGGTGCTCCTGCTCGAAGAACTAGCAACAGAGACACTCAGAGGGTCATCGGTTATTCTGACATGCATCGAACCAAACAGGACCACCTCCCACCGCCAAGTGCTTTCCTCAAGGAATACAGACAAGCAGTATTGGGTTGACCGTCTCAAGAGCATAGGAAAAATACACTTTCTGTAGCATAGTTCACATAAGTTCTTATTTGCTTCAGAAGCACTAAAATGCTACCCACATTCTGCCTCATTAAAAATGGGGACTGTCGCCAAAACCAGTTTGGCTCAGTGGATACAGCATCGGCCTGTGGACTGAAAGGTCCCAGATTCGATTCCAGTCAAGGGCATGTACCTTGGTTGCGGGCACATTTCCAATAGGGGGTGTGCAAGAGGCAGCTGATTGATGATCCTCTCTCATCAATGTTTCTAACTCTCTATCCCTCTCTCTTCCTCTCTGTAAAAAATCAATAAAATATATATATTTTTAAATGGGACTGTAAAGAGAAAATATTCAAATTGGAGAAAGATACATCCTCTGCCACAACTCTCTCTTTACATATCATGCTACTTTGTTTCATAAGTGTGACTGCTTAGCATGATAATATTTTTCATTGCTTATGAAATGATAGGCAATACAGGACTGGCACTGCTAAGTTTTAGCCCTTGAACCAGCAGTTTATCTTTCCAGAAAAGTTATCCAGAAGGATTCTTTACGTTACCCAAGGATCAGTTATTTATATACGCTACACTGCATGACATTTCCACCCAAACCAGAAGCCCACTGCCGTGGACGACGGCCCGCAGTCCCAACAACACGGAGGCTGGGGACACTTGGATGCACGCACTTCACGGGGAACAGTGTGCGGGCAAAACTGGAGATGGCGAGTGGAACGGACCAGTAAAAACACTGGGCTGTTCTAAAGGGACCTTAGGGTAGGCTCTGATGGGGAGGTCACCCTGAAGAGAGCTCCGCCAGGCCGCCAGAGGCCACCGCAGGTCAGCACGAGGCCACGAGCTTCTCCAACAGCGACTGGGCGGCTGCTCATGCTGTGTCCATCCCACTGGGGCCAACTTCAGCCAGAGAGCGTCCACTGTGCGGTCCATGTAACCAAGACCCAGCCCACCCGCATCATCTCCAACCCAACCCACGAAGCAGCCTGCGAGTGAGGCGGGGCGGTCTGCCGAGGGAACCTCCGGGTTATCTACATACAAGAGCCAACTCCAAGGCCTCAGCTGGCCGGTTTGGGTGGTGACACAGAGAGGAGGACTGAGCCGTGTCCTCGCCATTGATGACCACTCCTCGTAAAAATGTCACCTATCCCTTAGACCTGCACGCTCTCTTGGGAGCAACTCAACACAGACAAGTAAGCATGCTCCATGTCTACATGTGTTAGAAAAGGGATGTCTTGTTGCAGTGTCCCTACTAAAAGCTCCCAAATGGGGAGGGAAGTCTAAGCCTTATTTAAATGCACTGCTCTCTGGGAGGAATGATAAAGCAGAAGAGAAGAATGTTCACTGAACTTTTCATAGAGAACAACACTAAGGGGACGCTGGCATAGCTCGGAGCCTCTCCGTCCCTCCGTCCCCCCGCCCCAGAGAGGGCAGGGTGGAAAGGAGAAGGGCCCGGAGTATCTCAAGCCACTCTAGTTCTAAGGCTCATTAAAGTCTAGAAACTTAAGATCAGCAGATTCATGTGAGCCCTTTCCCTCAAAATATAGGAGAACCCAGGGTATTCGGACAGAAAAGGTTATGTGCTACTTTAAATGGCCAGGTATCGATATTTAAATCCACCTCAGAGGTTATCTTAGACGGGAATCTGGCCATCGTCATGGTAACCAGGCTGCGCCAACAGGAAGCGTGCAGCTCGGTGAGACATGCACCGGAGCACGCGCTCCTTCAGGCAGCGGCAACCCCCCTGCGGCTGTGAGGGAGAGGGCCCCAGTAAACAGAGAATGTGGCAAGACTTAAAAGCACGCCACTGCTGGTAGCCCTGTACGTTCATTTCCCCCAAATCGGTCTCATGAAAAACACTTCCAGGAACACTAAGACTAACGGGAAACCAGCTACTTGAGACTACGTGGCAGGCCTAGGTCTTACTCAGGTTCTCTTCATCTTCTACATCCATGGCAAAATACTTTGGAGGGTTTCTTGACTGGCGGAGGCTGTTTCTGTCTGCAAGACAGCAAGAAAGTCACATTTAGTGAGTCTGTCACATGAGGTAGTCTCCTCTAAAGAAATGGCGCCCACAGGATGACAAACTAACGGGAAAGCTTGTGAAACAAGGACAGCTCGATCTGCCGTCAGGACGGAATATTCGGATGCTCCTGCCTCTTCAGCACGGTCAGTACAGGGCCCCAGGACTCTGCTGCGGAGAGGGAGGCCTGAGGTGGGGAAGGGTCTCCCTCTGAGGAGCTGGCCTTGATTCCAGGCTGGAGGCCACGGCAAGCACCAAACCAGGGAGAAAGGTGATGGCATTTATGTCTTAGGAAGCTCGCTCCTGCAGGAAGGGCTGAAGACAGATGACCACAGAACCCAAACAGGACTCAACCTGTTTGCCATTTGACCTTTGCTCTGGCGGACTTCTGGTTCAGGTTATAAAGTAAGGCTACAAAGAAAGAAGTGCCTAACAGCATTTCACTTTACCACTTCTTTTTCTTCTTGAGCCGCATCTCGTGTGGATGAATCTAAAAAGCATGTAATTATTAAATCTGATTGAATTTCTTAGCTATGTATAACATTATTTTGTTGGTAGAAGAAACCACAGGAAATCCTTAAATTACTACAATCCTATATAATAAAGAAGTAATATGCAAACTAACCATCACACCCTCACAAGATGGCTGTCTATGACCAGGCTGGCAGCGGGGTTAGTGAGGGATGACCAAACGACTGAACAAGCAGGCTGTGTGGGGCAACCAGGCCAGCAGGGGGTTAGTGAGGGACAACCAAACAACTGACCAGCAGGCTATGTGGGGTGACCAGGCCAGCAGGGGGACCATGAGTGGCTACCAGGCCAGCAAGGGGGGCAGTTGGGGGCAACCTGGCTGGCAGTGGGGACAGTTACAGGCGACCAGGCAGGCAGACAGGCAGGTGAGTGATTAAGAGCTAATGGTCCAGGATTGTGAGAGGGATGTCCGACTGCCCGATGTCCCCAGAATCAGACCTAAACGGGCAGTCGTACATCCCCTGAGGGGTCCCGGATAAAAGAGGTTATAGACAGGGCTAAAGGGACTCCCTCTCTCATGTACGAATTTCATATAATAGGCCTCTATTTTATATATATAAAAAGCCAGTGACCGGAACCCATAACGACCAGAACAACCAGTCGCTATGATACCCACTGTGGCCAGTAAACCAGCCTGACTGGGGGGTTGGCCTGGCCAGCCAACTTCCTGCAGCCTCTCCCTCCAGCCAACCCTGCCCCTGATCAGCCTCTTCCACTCCTGCAGCCAACCTCTTGTGGCCCCTCCTCCTGGCCAGCCCACCCCCAATTTGCCAGGCCCTGATTGGCCTCTCCCATCCAGATTGAGGGCGGGATGGCCAGCCACTTCCCCCCCATGGTACTTCCCCCCAGTTGGCTCTGCCCCCAATCAGCCCCACAAACACCAATTGGGGGTGGGGCCTGCCAGCCAATCACCCTCGGCCCCTCCTCCCTGACAACCTGGCCATGATCAGGCCCCAATCGGGGTGGGCCCGCCAGTCAACTTCCTGCCATCTACTCCTCCTAACAATTTGCTGATTGGGGCCAGGCTGGCCAGATCCCACCCATGCATGAATTCGTGCACTGGGCCTTTAGTTATCTAATAATTAACAAACTTAAGAGTTTCTCTCTTCCTAAATAGATTGGCTATACTTAGCAAAATTTTAATAACACACCATCTGTACTAAAGAATCCCATCAAATTGTAATTGAGGAAAAAGATTTGCATATGTTGCTTTATATATAAATAAAACTGATATTATAAGTCACTAAAAGGCAAATTCATTGCTTGTAAGACATTATTAACAAGCAGTTGTCATAAAAACTATATATATTTCAGGTATCTGACAAACAAGAAACATTTATATCTTTATTCAAGAGAGTGTTCCAAATAGATTACTTCTAGATTTGTTTTCTGGAATCCTCCTTCTGTGCAAAGCACAGAATGGGACACGAGGAGAACCTGAAGTGAGTCACACAGACCCTGCGATGGAGAAATTAAAATAGAAATACCATCTGGATAGCTAATTATACTTAGAAATTCTTATTAATCATTTTAGGTGTAGAAATGGTACTTATTTTTGGCGATACTGAAGCATGTAGAGACAAAATGGTAATATCTGGAATTTATTATTGTAAAAGAACCCAGCGTGGTGGGGAAAAGCAGATGGTGTATAGTTAAAACTGAGGGGTAGGGGCTGGCTGCTGGGGAGGTGGATTCATAATACAATTCTGTATTTGTGTGTGTTTTACAATTTCTACGACAGAAAGCTTTACTCAGAGTCCTTTCCTCGGGTCTAGAATGGAAGGTAAGATGTAGCAGGAATACAGGACCACTGCACGCCCTCCACAAGGTACGGGTGCTCCGAGGGCTCCGGGCTGCGGGTCAGGTCAGAAGGTGGGCACGTGGAGGTGAAACTGAGCCAGGAGCGGAGGGTGTCGGGCACACCACGGAGACAGGAGACAGGTGGCGTGTGAGGAGCACGGAGGTTGTGTGAGAGGCGCAATCACAAGCACGTCAAAGAAACCCAAACTATGCTTTCTGGGAACAGCTCACATTGATCCCTGGCTTTGAAACAGGCAGCAGAGACGTGCGCAGTGGCAGGATGGAGACTTCCTTTTCCCTTCCTCCCCTCAGTACAACTGAAAACCCCGACAACAAATATGTAGGCGGAGGGAGGAGGGCAGACTAGCTGGGACCCGAGGGACCACATGGCATGGCCCCTGGTCTTTCTGTGTCATTATCCCAGACTCGGGGCTGAAGAAGCCAGCAACTTAGAAACACCAATGGGCACAGACCACAAAAGCCCAACAAATGCTGCTCTCTCTGACAATGGACCAGGAGCGGTTCCTCCCTGCGGGACTGAAAGTGACAGACAGCACTGCCCCACTCCAGCCAGACCCTCCCACCCAGCAAGGATGAGGGGGCTGGGGCCTTGCCTCCCCTACCCCCGGCGGAGGCCTGGTGGGGAACCTGAGGTGACGTCCCCATCCCAAACAGAGTGGCACGAGTGAAAGTCAGCTGACACAATGGTTTGAGTAAGATTTGGAGTCGAGTCCAAGTTTCAGTAAGAAAAAAAAAGTCATCCATCAGAACAACAGCCAGGAAGATCTTAAACTAAACGGAGGGAAAAAAGGCAATCAACAGACGCCAACCTAGAAGCGTCTGCCTAAGGTTGTAAAGCAGCCAGCATAAAGAAGTGGGAGGAAGCAGTCTAACCGATCTCAACATGCACTCGATAGCATTAGTCCGCAAGGCAGCATGTATGGCATTGCCAGGGACCACATGGAACAGACAGAACCAGGCACGTGCCCGGCTGGCGGCTCATGAGGCAGGGAGGAGGGGTCTGGCTACAGACAGCCAGACAGCGCTGCAGCCACCAGGCACCATGTCTCACACCAACACAAAATGCACTTGGGATGGTCCGGGGCTCAGTGTGAAGCATAAAACTATAAACCTGTAGGAAGATCATAGGAGGAAATCCCAGGGACCTGGGGCTGGGCAGAGCATGCTTAGGCAGACTAGACACCAAATGCACAATCTACAAGATAAATTGAATTTTTTGACAACTTGGACCTAATCAAAATTAAACTATTTTTTTTTCTCTGCTAAAGACCCTTCAGAGAAGATGAAAAGACAAGCCACAAACGGGGAGAAAATATTACGAAGACCACACATTGAACAAATGGCACACACAAGAGATTCTCAAAACAAACAATCCAACCAGAAAGTGGGCAGAAGACATGAAGAGACTTTTCAGGGAAGAGGATATTAAGACAAACATGAAAAAATGTTCGGTATCATCTGCCATCAGGGAGATGACACTTGCATCCATTTGGGTGGCCAAAATGAAACCAGGTGCAACCCCAGATGCCGACGAAGTTCACAGCAACTTCCCAAACGGAAACAACTAGATGCCCCTCCACAGGCAGATGGTTAAACAGACTGTGGGCGTGCCCATGCCAGGAAGTACTGTGCAGCAACGAAAAGGACTGATACACGCAGTGACCTGGATGCATCTCCAGAGAATTGGGCTGAGGGGGAAACGCCAATCCCAAAGTTACTTTGTGTGTGGTCCCTTTTCATACCATTCTTGAAATGAAGTAATTGCAAGAACGGAGAACAGATTAGTGGCCCCCAGGTATTGGGAGGGTGAGGGTTTGGCTACAAAAGCACAGGGAAGGGTCCCAGGGACAATGGAAGGCTCTGGGTGCTGACTATATCCCAGTCAACAAGCATCCTGATTGTGACAATGCACTGAGTAAAGGAAACATGGTTCTCCCTGTGAATCTATATGTGAATCTGCATTATCCCCAAATAAAAAGTTTAATTAGAAGGCCCAATGATCATACCATTCATCAATGATGGTGTGCAGAGCGGGACGGCTTCCCTGGAGGCCGGGGGCGAGGGAGAGCACAGTGCCGGGGACACTGACAGTGAGTCTGAGCCACGGGAGGACCGGCCCTAATGGAGCTCACCCGATTTGTAGAGCGCCCTGTTTCCCTGCTCTTACATATGAAAGCTCTTTAAAAGGACAAGGAAATGTCTCACAGTGGAAAATGATCAGGCTGTGGGCAGCCACGGTGAGGAGAACGGGAGCCAGAAAGCTCTCGCTGAGCGGGAGCAACACTTTCACATTCTACAAATGCCAACTTTTGTATCAAAGGTTATAAAACAAAGCAAAACAGCAAATGCAAGCACTTTAGAGCATTTCACATAACCATTTTTCTTTCACTCTGAAAGCACCTCTTACGGCCTGAACTATAAACATCTAAGAATTGAAAGCCCACCAAAATCCCACATGGGCTCAGTGTTTGAGCATTGACCTATGAACCAGGAGGTCATGATTCCATTCCCGGTCATGGTACATGCCTGGTTTGTGGGCTCGATCCCCAGTAGGGGGCATGCAGGAGGCTACCGATCAATGATTCCCTCTTGTCACTGATGTTTTCATCTCTGTCTTCTTCTCCCT